TTATCCATGTCCTGTAGTGTAGCTGTTGATAATACAAGCATAGACTTGGTCCCTCTGGTCTGCAGCTAATTCTAGGGACAAATTTCATGAAATGGGATCATGTACAAGAGCTCAGCTCCAAATGCACTATAAAATGCCAAAGCTAAAAAAATGTTCATTTCAATTACTTTATATATTCCCATGGTTTCTTCTCCCTCTAAGTAGTAATAGCTGCAAAGAGCAGGAGACAGAGGAGGGCAGCAAGTAAGCATGCTGGGTCGGCAAAAAATGCCTAAAACTAAAGCCTCAGGCCTAATTTTCCCTAAAAGACTTTCTAAAGGGCTTGGTCAAAGCAACCAACCTTTGTGAAATTTTAAAGGTATTTCCTTTCTTACTCTGAAGGAATAGTACATTTTATTTGCTTTAAATCTGTGTAGGCATTGTGAGCACTAATGCTCCTGACATGACATTTTTAAACATTTAAAATAAAGAGAGTAATTGAGAGTGAATGAAAAATCTACAGCAAGCCAATAAGTGCTTTTTTTCAGAGTTAGTATGAGCACAGATAATTTTATTTTTTAACAATAGCATTATGTCTTCTTTATTCTCTTTACTAACCATTTTTTCAAGAAAGGAAGATGCTGGAAAAGATATCTTTCATTATTGGATTTATATTTTTAATGAATTCAACTCTTCACACCAAGGTCAGCAGTTGAAGGCTAGAAGGTGGGCTTTGCAATTTTAACATTTTAGGCAGTGAGTATATTCTCATACAGTCTTGTTTTTACTTCAAGTGTCTGGTTATCCCACAGAAGGCTTGGACTCAGTGCAGATAAAATAAATAAGAATTTGGACCGAACCTCTCAGATATCTTCTAGTGGGCACTGTCCATTGTCTATCAGATATCTTCTACTGGGTAGATATTTATAGAGTTCCCAGACTGCATGTTTTCTATCAGGATAACAAAACCTTCATTTTCAAGTCTGTTCCATGCTTTAAAGAACTTAATAAACACTGGGTTGTTCACTGTAGCTAAGAATCAGATCCCAAGCAACTAAAAGTTTTAGCTGAGCCAGGTTCTGGGAGCCACCTGCTGGGTACAGGAAATGGTAAAAATCAAATCCTGGTGAAATCAATCTTGTGATTTAGATCTTTACTGAGGATACCATACTGTTTCAGAGTTCAGACTGCAAATGAGATTGTCCTATGTCACTATTGCACAACTATGTTGGTATTTTCATGAAAATTGATACTTGGAATTCTGATAAAAGTAACCGTGGTCAAGCATGCAGACGCATTGCAACTCTCAGGGGTAAGTTTGCAAAACTGTGCTTTCTTATAACTGATCTTGACACGGAGTGAGACTCACCCTATTCTGTGGCTCCCACTGAGTCTCAGTCTAAGAGCAGCTCATGAAATGTTCTGGGTGTCTGGGCCCCTGACTGTGCAGTTCCCTGACCAGAAATCAGGCAGGGGTACCTAGGAGGAAGAAATCCAGATTCCCAGTTCCCTCTTGAGAACCCACAGGTTTTCCTCCATCATGTCCAACAGGAACATCTTAAGTGTGCTTCCCTATTTATTCATAAGAAACACCACATGTGAAATGGTTTTCTTGTACACTATCACTTAAAGGAGAAAATGTCTACTAGGATGGCTTTGAAGCTTTGCTTGTGAGACCCAACCATTGGTTGAAACCTTAGATAGACTCAGCATCTTGTTGGCTACTATGGAATGGATGTATGGATCTCAGAAGCAGACACTCAGGTTTTCATCCTGCAAATATAGGATTATTCACATAAACTCTAGAAATTTTAGTCAGAGAATATTAAAAATTGTTGGTATCTGGATTCCATATGGTTTTTTGACAGGAGGTGCTATGACATTTCCAAGAGACTCTGGTAAAGTTGTCATTGCTCAGTGGGACTGAAGTCTACCCTTTTCTGAGACTACATGCAATGTTTTGTGAAGATTGTTGGTTTGCAAGTGCTAGGACAGCAGCTAGACAAAGGTTGTGACATATAAATGGGGGTGCTATGATATAGACATGCACCCTCATGATGTATAGATGGAGATTTCATAATGTTTAGGGGTGGCAGTACATGATCTAAAAACTGGAATTTCATGATATAGATAGGTGTCTGTAATGTATAAATGAGATTTCTACAGGCTATAGATGGGAGCTTCATGATAAACAGAGGAACAGTGTGTGATGTACAGGCACAGTTCCTCACAAGACAGAGTGTAGTCAGATCAGGAAGGCAGAGCACCATTTATAGCCATTCTTGGAACTTTTTTTTTTTTTTAATTTTATCACCTCAATTTAGAACCCAAACAAGACACAATTTTAATTTCACAAAACTGCCTATGATTCCTGGTCCTGAGTTCCTGGGTCATGCTTGGCCTCTGCCTAGCTGTGGGGTGCACATCCTGAAGGGGCCCGCGGAGAGAGGATAATGAGCCCCATGGCATGGCGGCGGGCCGTGGTGTGATGAATGGCCCGAAACCTCCGCGCAGCTCTGTGCCCTTCATCATCCAGTCGGAGTGGTTAGCAGACTGTCAGAGAAAAATAATTTAGCAGCCGTGGCTTTAACTGATGTGCTGTATTCTGGGGTCAAATGACTATTACAAAGTACTAGCACTGCCTGGTTTTTCCATCGTGAGAGCTCAGGGTTGACAACATGAAAGAAGGAGGCATCACATCCAGAATTCACTGACATCCTTCAATTTCACACAGCAGGACACAGGAGAGAGAGGTGGCAGTAGTGGGGAGAAAGGACATTTCCCACTAAACAGAAAGCCCCCACTTGACTGAGGCCTCAGGAGGGTGCCAGGCTCTCTGGAAAGTGGTGTTGGCTGGACAAGAGTGAAACAGCAAAGGGAAAACACCCACAAAGCACTGTGGAAGGCTTCTCAGCGATGTGGCAAGAGGTTCCAGCCAACCCAGGCCATGCCAAAGGTCATGGGCAGCATTTGGAGGAACTTAGCCCTTTGTCTAGTGTGCCTCCAGATATCCGGGCAAAGCGCTTCCCTGGCTGTTTTGGCAAATTTAGACTAACAGTAGAAAAACAAAAAAGAAAGGAGGTGGAGAAAAACTTAAAAAGATGGAGGCAGGGGCCGGAGAGATGGTTCAGTAGAGTAAGCGCTTCCCTGGCAA